AATTCAAGTAATGGTTCATGATGTGGGGTGGGCTATGAAGCATGAAAATTCTCGCGCTCGATCCCATAATTTCAATTTAGTGAATACATTAAACAGAATAAAACATTTATTCCTGTCGAGGGGAAAGAGTTGAAAAAATAAATTGTACAGTTTCACGAATTTCCAGCTCTGATGCAAAAGAGTCATAAAGCAACTTTTCACACAAAAGAAGAAGGATTTTTTTTTTCTTGACAGAAGAAGGAATTTCAAAGAGTAATGTTTATCTGTACAGTTAATATAATGTAAAATGAACTATTTTTAGTTTTCATTCCTATACTTTTTATTTTATTTTTTTATCTTTTCAAATTTAGAATTTCTTCTGCTTATAAAAAATGAATTTGCTTTATAATATTTTCTTTGAATTTAAACCCTCTAAAGTCTAAATATAATATTTTTCTCCGACTTTCATTTTAATATAAATAATGTATACAAAAGTTTAAAAATGTTACATAATATCACATACAATTATGAATGTTAGTTAGGATAATCACTTAATCTTTTGTGTGTGAGAGAAATTGTGTATAAATAAGTAGTTAACTAAAATCATAATGATAAAAATTAAAAATAATAATTCCAAATATTAAAAAAAAAGAAAAATAAAAGAATTTTTCTAAAAGAACCAAAATAAAAATTTACTAATCATTTTACACGAATTAAAAATATATTTAATTCTAATTAAAATTTTAACACAATATTAAATATATTTTATTAAAAATTCTATTTTCATTTTTTTTTAATTTTAATATATTTTGAGTTTTTAATTAATCGTGTTTATAAAAACAAATTTTCATGTCTTCACACGTAAACAAATCGAAAATTAGCAAAAAGTAGTAGCGAAAAATCAAGAGAAATGCTTGTAGACGATTTTTTTAAAGGCCAAATTTTATTAATGCTAGCGGAACACATACTTCGCACAAGTAGTGCCAAGGTTCAACCGCTCAAATATATTACATTAGCTCATAAAATAGCCCTGAAAATGCTTATAGATGCTATATAAAAAAATGTTTTATATAAATAATAATACAAATTAACAAGGAAAGACTAGAGTAAAAAAAGTGTACCTTAATTTAACATATCTATATATATAGAATGTGAGGAAAGAACTTTTAGGTTATTGATTTTCTAAATATATATTTTTTACACAATTTCTTTTAGAAAATAGGGATTTAATTATTTTCTGAAAATGAAAAGTTAAAAAATAAAGTTATTTATACGAAGATACTATATGTGCAACTGTTTTAAGTCTTTACTTTTTAGTTAACTATTATATCTCTAAAATATTAAGAAAAAATAACTTTTCATATTTTCTTCGAATAACCACCCACAACCATTTTTTCCTTACTGGTAGATATAACAGGAGAGGAAAATAATCTTGGTAATAATAAGTTTGTTAATCTTGGTAAATTTATGGAGCAGAACAAAGTTGGTTTCCAAAAGCCTATACTCAACAATGGAGTTAGTTTAAACTTTAAAGCAAGATGTTTTATCAAAAATATTTATAAAATAAAATAAAAAGTGTATAAGTAAAAAATGGTTTGCGAAGATCAAACCCCCAACGTGCTTCGTTCCTTAGCTTGTGTTGTATGGATTCAACTGTACTAGCTCGGGCCTTGGGTTTTTAGCCTCTGAATTATATGAAGTTTATAGAAGTTGGGCCAAGCAACCCTCATGTCGGACTGAGGCTGATGATATATACACCTCCATTTTTTTATACATACACTCCCTTTTTTTTAAAAAATATATTAAATTCTTAAATTATTCTTAATATTATTTGGAATAAAAAAAATTTATCCTGGAAAATTTTTTTCGGAGGTGTATTTGTACATAATTATGGAAAGTTCTTTCCAGAATACTAAAATTAGTATTCTGAAAATAACTTTCCGTCGGAATAATTCTGGAAAGTACTTTCCGTAACACTAAAATTACTATTGCAGAAAGTTCTTTCCGGAATTATGGTAACAAATACACACACTGTTAAATTCCGGAAAGAATTTTTCGCAATAGTAATTCTAGTGTTACGGAAAGTATTTTCCATAATTATTTTGACGGAAAGTTATTTCCGGAATAGTAATTTTAGTATTCCGGAAAGTACTTTCCGTAATTATTCTGACGGAAAGTTCTTTTCGGAAGGCTCATGATATATACACCTCCTTTTTTTTTATAAGTACACCTTCTTTATTTTTTTTAAAAAATTATAAAATATTATATATATATATTTTAATTTTATACCTTTAACTTTCAATTTCTACTTTTTTCTTTTTTTTCACACACTTTTTTTTTCTCTTTCAATTTTTACGTGCTACCAAAATAGGTGGAGTGAAGGAAAGATAACGGGGTGCATGTAAAAATTGAAAAAAGAAAAAAAGAAGAAAAAAGAAAGATTTGTAAAAAAAAGTACTAAATTAAATGTTGTGAATGTAAAATTAAAAAAAAAACAAAAATTTAAGAATATTTTAATATTTTAATTATTTTTTTTGAAAAGGAGGTGTACTTATAGGAAAAAGGAAGTGTATATATCATCAACCTTTGAAAAACACTTTCCAGAATAATTTTTTTTTTATTCCAAATAATATTAAGGATAATTTAGGAATTTAATATTTTTTAAAAAAAGGGGGTATATGTATAAAAAAAAATGGAGGTGTATATATCATCAACCACTAGAATATGGTACGGAGCCCAAAAGAATAAGGATTTTAAACATAAAACTAAATACATTTTGTAGGCTTTTTTTTTTCTTTCCTGATTTGGGATTATTATGGAAATTAAATACCATATTAGAATTGCTCTGAAACAAATTATAACTTTGAAACCACTAGGGTTAGCCTAGTGGTTGGGTGGGAGGGATTGGGGTAGTTAGAAGTATAAGGACCTAGGTTCAATCTTTATTATAACTATTTTTGTAATTTTTCCTATTTTTACAAAAAAAAAATTACAACTTTGAAATAATATTGTGGAGTGTTCAATCCAACGACACCCTTTACATTATTATTATTTTTTATTTTTGAAATTTGAAAATGACACGAGACATATTGTGTCGTTGTTAGTGTCACAGTCAGTTACGATGAACAAGTGTCATAATAGGTTGATGTGTCACTTTTTCTTCATTTATTTTTGGTTGGTGTCGTAAGGACAAGTAGCTACACTAATTTTTCCTTAATATCAAAATGCCAACAGTTACACTATTTTTTTTTTCTTGTTAGTTAGTGTCGTTAGTGACAATAGTTACATTATTTTCTTTAGAAAAAATTATTTGCCACAATGACCCATGTGGTATCTAATTCTTTTTTTATTATTTTACCTTACAATGGGTCACAACATTTTTTTTTAATGTCAAATTAATCTCTAAAATTGTGTTACAATTTCAATGATTAAAATAATATTGTGTTACAGTCATATGTCACATGGTACATATATTTTATGTGACACATTCTCATAACATGTTACTCCACATATGTGTCACATGTATGCTATATAGTATAATCATGCCACGTAGGTACTTTCATTTAAGAAAATAGAGGTTATTTAATGGGGGGACTCAAATGACTGGCTTATTACATTTTTAGAGACTTCTTTTGAGTTTCATTATAATAAATGACTAAATTGAGAGAGTAAATGGTCAAATTAGGTGGCACTAATCAAGTGAAATTTTGCTACCGAGTCATGCCTTTTGGCCCTAAAAAGGTCAAAGTTACTTATCGTAGGTTAATGGACATGGTCTTCAACGATCAAATTAGTGGAAATGTTGAAGTATACATTGATGACATGATCATCAAAACAAAGTTTGCTAAAAAGCACATTGATAATTTGACTGAGATATTTCAACAACTTAGAAAACACAATATGAGATTGAATTCGAAAAAATGTGTTTTTAGAGTTCAATATGGAAAGATTTTGGGATTTTTGATTACTTGCAAAGGAATTAAAGCAAATCCATACAAGTGTGAAGCTTTGATAAAAATGAGGAATCCACAATGTCTCAAAAAGGTACAAAGGTTGGTAGGAAGACTTGTCTCACTATCTCAATTTATCCCCAAAATGGCAGAAAAAGCTAAACCAATTTTTAATTTATTAAAAAAGCTTAAAGATTTTCATTGAGATGATCGATGTGAGCAAGTCTTTTTTTATTTTAAAATTTTTTCATCAAGTCCCCCAATCTTAACCAAACCAAACCACTAAGCTAGCCTTCTATTATATTTAGTAGTTGTTGAGAATGCCATTAGTGCCACTTTGGTATAAGAAAATGGTAAAAAATAAGTTCCTATTTATTTTATATGTTGTGTTTTGTAGGATACAGAAAGGAGATATCAAACCATTAAGAAACTGACATTGGCATTAGTGACTTCATCTTAACACCTTTACCCTTATTTTCAAACTCATCAAATTGTAGTCAAAACTGACTAGCAAATACTAAAAAAAAATGGAATTGGTGGGACATATAATAGCATGGTCAATGAAATTGTCTGAGTATTGAATAAAGTATGAAAGTAGATGGCCAATGAAAGCGTAATGTTTATTTGACTTCTTTGTTGAGTTAACTCCAGTGCTAGAACAAAAGGAAAAATAATGGACTTTACATATTGATGGTTCAATTAGAGGTAGTGGAGCAAACATTATTCTTAAAGGACTTGATGACATGATGTTGGAGCAAGCTCTAAGATTTGAATTCAAAGTCACCAATAATCAAGCAAAATATGAAGTCCTTCTAGCAGGATTAAGTTTGGAAAAATATGTTGGTGTCGTAAAATTGAAATGTTGTAGTGATTCACAACTGATCACAAAATAAGTCAAAGACATTTATTAATTAGATGAAAGAACCTCAACTTCAAAGGTATTATCATCTAGTTTCTCAGTTAATTTCTTATTTTGATGACTTTAAGATTAAACATATTTTTAGGGAGCAAAACTCTAGGGTCGATCTTTTGTCTAAGTTGACTAAAACCAAATGGCTTGGTCAACACAAAATGCTTATCCAAGAATTTATTACAACTCCAAGTTTTGAAGTCAAAACAATCTTGGTTGATGAAGTTAATCTTGTGGCTGCTGGACAAATGTTAATGGAGAAGAGAACCAAACTATTTTGGTCCCCATGTGCAGCCCATTGCCTTGATCTAATCCTTGAGGACATTGGAGAGCTTCCGGTATTCTATAATACCATTGCTAATGCAAAGAAGATTACTACCTACATATATAGACATACATGGGTCCTTAATTTGTATAAACAATATTCCAATGGAGGGGAATTAGCAAGACCAGCTGTGACAAGATTTGCAACTTCTTATCTTACACTAAATTGCATTAAACAACAAAAGAATGCTCTTAGATCAATGTTTGCATCGGAGGAATGGGCTACTAGTCCACATGCTAGTAAAAGTGAGGCTAAGCAAGTCATGAACCTAGTGTTGAGTGATGATAGATTTTGGAGATCAATTACATATTGTCTAAAGTGCGTGATTCCACTTGTGAAAGTGTTAAGGCTTGTAGATGGTGATTCAAAGCCAGCCTCACCATACATTTATGAAGCAATGGATAGGGCTAAAGAGAAAATTGCTCAAAACTTTCAAATGCAAGAGTCAAGGTATAAAAAAGTGTGGAAGATTATTGACACTAGGTGGAATCTGCAGCTTCATAGGCCTCTTCATGCAGCTGCCTATTATCTCAATCCTAGGTAAATTATTTAAAAATAATTATCATTTTAAGAACTACTATTTTCTTTGTGCCTAGTAGCTAAGTTATTTCTTATTTGGTTAGGTATCATTATGACAAGAACTTCAATCCGGATAGTGAAGTGTTAATTGGTTTATATGAAACCTTTCAAAGAATGGTTTCGGATATAAGGACAAGAGTTATAATAGATCAACAACTTGAAAAGTTTAAGGGTAAAAAATAAGTTCCTATTTATTTTATATGTTGTGTTTTGTAGGATACAGAAAGGAGATATCAAACCATTAAGAAACTGACATTGGCATTAGTGACTTCATCTTAACACCTTTACCCTTATTTTCAAACTCATCAAATTGTAGTCAAAACTGACTAGCAAATACTAAAAAAAAATGGAATTGGTGGGACATATAATAGCATGGTCAATGAAATTGTCTGAGTATTGAATAAAGTATGAAAGTAGATGGCCAATGAAAGCGTAATGTTTATTTGACTTCTTTGTTGAGTTAACTCCAGTGCTAGAACAAAAGGAAAAATAATGGACTTTACATATTGATGGTTCAATTAGAGGTAGTGGAGCAAACATTATTCTTAAAGGACTTGATGACATGATGTTGGAGCAAGCTCTAAGATTTGAATTCAAAGTCACCAATAATCAAGCAAAATATGAAGTCCTTCTAGCAGGATTAAGTTTGGAAAAATATGTTGGTGTCGTAAAATTGAAATGTTGTAGTGATTCACAACTGATCACAAAATAAGTCAAAGACATTTATTAATTAGATGAAAGAACCTCAACTTCAAAGGTATTATCATCTAGTTTCTCAGTTAATTTCTTATTTTGATGACTTTAAGATTAAACATATTTTTAGGGAGCAAAACTCTAGGGTCGATCTTTTGTCTAAGTTGACTAAAACCAAATGGCTTGGTCAACACAAAATGCTTATCCAAGAATTTATTACAACTCCAAGTTTTGAAGTCAAAACAATCTTGGTTGATGAAGTTAGGAATAGAGGTTGGATGAAAGATATTTGGAATTATCTAAAAGAGGGATTATAACAAAAAAAAACATATTGGAAGCTAAAAAAGATAAAGACTAAATCATTTCACTTCATCATTAAAGTAAACAAGCTTTTCAAAAGAGGTATCTATTTTCCTTTTTTAAAATTTTTAACCAAAAATCAAGCATAATATGTGATTGAGGAGATCCATAACGGTATTTGTGGCATGCATTCTGAAGCTCGATCCATGGCCACTAGGGCCATTCAAGCTAGTTATTATTAGCCGACCATAAAGTCGGATTGCAAGGATTATGTACAAAAATGTAAAGCTTGTTAAGAATTTGACAATTTGCAAAAGTTACCATCGAAATCTCTTCATCAAATGCAATCATCTTAGGTTTTCAATTGGTGGAGAATGGACATACTTGGTCATTTTCCATAGCAAAAGGACAAGTCAAGTTCTTGATAGTGGCGATTGATTATTTCACAAAGTGGATAAAGGTAGAGGCTCTTGCAAAAATTACTGCTTCAAATGTGCAAAAATTTACGTGGAAGAATATAATTTGCAGGTATGGTTTATCACAAACCATTGTTACTGACAATGGAAAATAATTTATGGACCAATAATTTGAAAGTTTTCTAAATCAACTCGACATCACTCATCAAGTAACTTTAGTAAATCATTCTTAGACCAAAGGGAAGGTCGAGGCAGTTAACAAGATTATTTTCATAGAATTAAGAAAGAGAGTGGGAGGTGCCAAAAGGAAATGTGGGTTGAAGAATTACCCAGTGTGTTGTGGGCTTATCATTGCACATCACAATCAACAACATAAGAAACTCCTTACAAGTTAACTTATGGGGTAGATGCAATGATTCTTGTTGAAGTGGGTGAGCCAACTCATAGAAGATTAACTTCTCACCTAGTTCAAAATGAAGAAGAAGTGTAGAATGAACTTGATTTTCTAAATGAGGTCAGACAAAATGCTAGAATACAAGAATAAACATGTAAATTACGTGTTTCATGTAAATACAATTTCAAACTAAAGCCAAAAAGTTTTCTTGAGGGAGATTTAGTTTGGAGAACAACAGGGGAAGCAAGGAAAGATCCCTTGACAAGAAAATTTGCAACAAATTGGAAAGGCCCTTACTATATATTGGAAAGCTTGTAAAATGGTGCATACAAATTAGTAGAGTTAAGTGGAAAAGTTGTACCAAGAGCTTAGAATGCTACTCAATTGAAGTTCTATTTTAGTTAAATATATCCTCAAGAGATGTACTTTTTTTCCTACCTCAATTTGTTTTTCCAATGTAAAAAGTAATGATTTTGGCTGATGAGGTTTTAATGAGACACACCTTAAGTATAAATAGTAAAGGATTGTATGAATACAATTTTTATCTTCAGTAGTGAAACATTTCTTTTAACATGACATGCTTGTTTCAATCAACTTATTTTGAATCTACCTTTATTCTTTAATTTGTACTTTATAACATGGTCGAGTTCAAAGCCATGATATAATTGGTTGAGTTCGAAGCCACAATATAATTGGCCGAGTTCGATGCTAACTTATAAAATTAACCAATTTTAAAGGGTGGCTGAATTTGAAGTCAACTTATAAAATTAATCAAGTTTAAAGGTTGACCAAATTTGAAGTCAATTTATGAAATTAACCAAGGTTAAAGGTTGGTTGAATTTGAAATGAACTTATGAAATTAACCAAGTTTAAAGATTGACTAAATTTGAAGTCAACTTATGAAATTAATTAAGTTTAAAGGTTGGCCAAATTTAAATCCAACTTATGAAATTAACCAAGTTTAAAGGTTGTTGAATTTGAAACTAACTTATGAAATTAACCAAGTATGCAAATTGATCGAGTTCGAAATGAACTTATAAAATTTATCAAGTTTAAAGGTTAGTCAAGTTCGAAGCCAACTTATGAAATTAACTAATTTTAAATGTTGGTCGAATTCAAAACCAATTTATGAAATTAAACAAGTATAGAAATTGGTTGAGTTCAAAGTCAACATATGAAATTTACCAAGTTTGAAAATTGAACGAGTTTGATATCAACTTATGAAATTTTACCAAGTTTAAAGTTTGAAGGTTGAACAAGTTTGAGATCAATTTGTAAATTTTCTCCAAGCTAAAAATTGGCCAAGTTTAAAGCCGATAAATTATGTTATTGCTAAACTAGCCGAATTGGATGCCAATTATTATGTGAAATATATAAGAGAAATAAATCATCAAACATTATATTATTCATAGAACACGTCAACAAAAATATATTTGATCTTCACTTAGTCAAATTAAAATTAAAAAAGCATCGCAATTGTTGAAATAAAAATAACATAAAAAGAAACTACTTAATCATTTTTCTTCTTCATTGGTATTATCAGGAAGATCATCTTCATCCCATCAAGCACATTCTTCTCAATGTGAACATCATTGAGGTTGATTTCAAGAGAAAAAAATTTAACTTGTCAAATTGCTTTGGCAGAACCCTTTCTATGTTCAATCATAAGTTGGCATTGTATATCAAGAAATTCCTTATTCAGAATTTAATTACTCAACTCAATTACTTCTAATTCCTTCTTCAAGTCAACAATTTCTTTTGCATTATCAGCGATAACACCGTGACATGTTTGATTTTTCTCCTCTAATAATTTAACTTTTTTTCATTAAGAGCTTTGATGTTGCTCTCATACTCTTTAATCTTGCCTTCAAAATCTTTAGTAATTTTTTCTTCACAAGTCTTAACCTTAGCCTCTGTTTCAATTTTTTTTTTATAGTTTTCACCTTGTTCAATAACACTTCAACCTTCGCAAAATAAGATTGGTTTGCCTTAATTACGACATTGTGTGATTTTTTTGTTTCTTCCAAACTTTTTTTGTCTTATTCAACTTGCATTTACCAACTTGCATTGAACATTCCCATCCTTCATTTTATCTATCTGAGCTATTTTTTCTCTCATTTTTTTCTTCTAATGATCAATTATGGTAATAAATCTTTACAAGAACAATTGTGCAAAATCTAACCCTTCAATTAGACCTACCTTCTCTATAATTGCTTTATTAGCAATAAAATTTGGATCTTCCTTATAAAATGCTTCAATAGTGAAGTTAGAATTCCATAATGATGTCACATCAATAGACATACTTACATGGTTTAACCTTGCCAAAGGACGACTTGTTCAAATCTTTGATAAATAAACCTTGGTTGAGTTGTAGGCCAAACTTTAGAAATTTTTGGTTGAAATGGAAGATTTGATGGTTGGATAGATTGATCGACCAAAGGAGATGATGTTGGCATAGAGGAACCAATCATACTTGATGATTAAATAGATTGATCAATCAAATGAGATTATGTTGGAATAGAATAATCATGCATAACTCCATCTTTTATCAAATCGACTAATTTTGTAGCATCATTAGTAGAATTATGTAAAACATATCAAATTGAAGGATTCGCTTGCATCTCAATCTTCTTCTCATTATTATCTATGACATTCTCAGTAGTCTTCCTTTTTTCTTCTTTGACGAGGACAAAGAATACTCTTATCTTCTTATCATCTAGAATGTCTTATTCTTCCATGTTGAACTTTGTGTTTAACTCATACCATTTACTTCAGCCCATGATCTCTACAAATAGGGAAAAATGCTCTAAGAAAAAATAAACAACAAAGAAAGGAAACTTGTAATTGCAAGTACTCACTTTCTAAATCACTGAGGATTTTTTGACTTAGAAAGTGAAAGAACAACTTTACTTTCAAGAGGTTGAGATAATTATTTTTATCTTCCTCCTCGGATGAAGTCAATACAGTTCTCGTAGAATTAATAAATCTTAGAGGTTGGAATTGTCATTAAATAAAAACATAGGTTGTTCATTTAGATGGAAGATAGTTTGTATTTCAAGATTACCACAAACAGGTCAATTTTTGAAATATTCTTTCTTAAAATTTTAGTAAGATTGAGAAAAAAATTTAAAAAATTCCATTTGAATGAGTATCACTCAATGATATGCAATCATATAGAGGGTCGTTGAGTTTTTAATTGATAAAAGTGCATAAATTTTGGTACATTTAACTGAATATTCAAAAATGAACACAATACTTGAAATACACA